AGGAACTGCAACAGAGAACCAGAGGAACGAGCTTCAGTTGTCAGTGTCGCTACATTGCTTCGAAACTGTTTTCCGACTCGTTCGCCATCCACCCGCTTTGAATTACGAGAGAATCCGATGGCGCGGAAGCCGTCCCACGCGTCGGACAGCTGCCGCCCGACGCGACGCGACGCGACGCCACGCGACGCGACGCGGCGCCCGGAGTAAGAACCCGCTCCTCTTCGCCTGTGCGGGCGCCCGCCGCCCCGCGGCCTGGAATTACACATGGGCCGGCGAAATGAAAGTGGGACTTCTGTGTGTTTGACAAACGGTTTAGTGAGGCAAGATTACAAAATAAAGAGTGATTCGTTTTGCGAAGGCAAAAAGAACGCTTCTGACTGGTTAGTGCCTAACATAAACAATGCAAAGGCATGTATGTACCTTTGCATGTGAAGAAATTTGGTTGTAAAATAATTAATTTTTACTAGTAAAACATTAATGTAGCTCACGAGACAGTGGGTACATAAAATAAAGCATGACGCTGGCTACAAAACAAATGATTGCTAATAATATAACTGTTCTCCCGCAAAATGACATTCTTGTGCACGAACAACATATTCATCGAAATTTCAAGAAATTATCCTTGCAATAACATTATTTACAATGATTTATTGCGCACTAGAATTTAAAAAAATATATAAGATAAATATTATTCAAAATCGTTATAAACTGATTTTCTTTAAACTTATATTTGAAAATCATGGACTTAAATTATGCCGGAAAAAATTTCTCTCGAGAAGTATATATGCTACTTCTACCATGACCACAATATTTTTGTAAAATATTCGGAATGCTAGATACGAGAGTAATTTTTTGTCACACAAATACGACCATTCCTGACAATAAGCTAGAGCGCGTTTGATTACGGACAATGCAATCCGAAATGATAATACACGACATGTTTTCTTTGGTATGAGATAAACAAAGGAGAAAATATTGTTTCTAGGGACCAATTCATTCGTGGGCTCCAACTCTGATACAACCCTAAAAATGCAAATTTTGAGTTCCGACCGACACTCATTTAAAAACTTTTCATAACTTTTCTTAACAGGACTCCTATGAAGCCTTTAGTAACTCCGTAACGCAACAGTTACTAAGCGCGTGATACCTGAAATTCAACCACCACTTAAAGCTTCAAACACTTTTATCTCGAAACTTCATTTTACGAATTGCGCCAATATCGCAGTCCATAATCAAAATGATTCACTTGTTCCCTGCGTTTGGAAGCGGAGGAACGAATGCAGCGGCGACTGTTTGCGGCCGGCGCCCGCGCTCGCTAACGGGGTTGTTTGTTCGCGGCGTTTCGCGGAAGCCGGGGCGTGCGGCGGACGCGCTGCGCTGCGCTGCGCGGCTGACAGGGCGGCGAAGCCGGCGGCGCACTTGGCCGGAGGGGGTCGGCGGCGGGACATGGGGGGGGTGGGCACCCGGCAGCGGCGGGGGCGGCGGGGCGGCGAGGGGCGAAGCGCGGGGGCGGCGAAAGGCAGCGGGGGCGGCGAGGGTGGCGGGGGCCGATGGGGGCGGCGGGGCGGCGAGGGGGCGAGGGCATTCGGAGGGCGGCGAGGGCGGCGGGCGCGAAGGCAGCGGGGGCAGCGGGGGTGACAGGGACGGCGGGGTGGCTGGGGCGGCGAGGGCTGCGTGGGCGGCAATGGACTGCGCTCGAAAGCGGGAATGCACCAGCGCCGCTCGCGGCTATGGTATGTCGCCAGCAGACAAGCAAAATAATTATATTCCCGCATTAGCATTGCGGCAGCTTAGCGGTAACACTGGTCTCTGCAGCAGAGTTGACGGAGATGTTCAAAGGTTCGAGTACCGACGCTGACTGTTTGTTGTTGTTTTTTGCAGTAGCTAGATAGCGAGGGCGAATTCAGCAAGTGCCTGAATAATTCCAGCCGCCGGCTGCTCTAAATGGTAGTTTTCTGGGGGTTCGTTACTCAGTACCAGGCGAATGCCGGATCAGGTTCTTAACAAATGAGCAACGGGTTGCCCGCGATATTTCCTTTCTTATCGTTGTCTCTTCATCTCCCCTTTCTCCCGCACACACACAGGTAGGCACTACTACAGATGTTGGAAGATCAGACATGAGCTTAGAGCATGTATGAAATAAGAAACGTACATTAGACTGTCGTCATTGAACTATATTGTCCAATTAATATCATACATAATGTCATAGACTATTACATTTTCATATCATAAAATAAGAGAGTTCTATCGGACTGAGAAAGAACAGTGAATTTGAGAGTTGAACTGTATTATAAGATAAAATGTTAATCCATTTTATAATACCTTTGAGACAAAAGAATGAAATTGCGCATTGCCAGTAGCATCACGTGTAATGTTAGTTTCACCAGTTATATCAGATAATAAGAAAACTGACAATTAAATTTAAGAATTTTTTACAAGGTAAGTTACATATGCTATTAATCATTACACTGTGAGAAATGCGTTTGAATCACAGAAATTCGCAGCACTGATTCACAGAACATTTATGCGCTGAATAAAGCAAACAAAAAACAGCGCATCAAGCGACAGCGAAGAGAATTTCAGCTGAAGAGCGAGTTGCATGCGTAGGTTTTGTTCTTCAACACAACGTAACTTTCATAGAATTTCTAATTTATTCAGGGGTATTGAGTTAAAAACAAAAACAATCAGTCCTCTTGCAGCCTTGTAGATGCTATAATTTTGCTGCAATTTTATCTCATTAATAAAATTATATGTAACGCCACCCCGTCAAAGTTCCAAGAATCCACCTTGTTCAGAAAGATATACTTTTTTAAACTTTTTACACATATGCTCATTCCGACATTTACGCCGGAGTTGCAAGGACGATACTAGAAAATACATCATGAATCCAAGTTATTTCTATTAACAAAGTTTCACGTACAGAAAAAAGGGTGTTAAAAAACCCGGCTGGTGCTGCGGAGTACGTATATAAGCTGCATCCCACGGTCAACCTTTCCAAAGTCATTTATGTACCTCCCGAAAAAGGCATTCCCCAACTCCATCTTCTGTTTATTTCCTTAGAATGAGGTTTGATATCTACGTTTCTCGTGATCTACTTAGATTCACAGTGATCGAGTATAATTTATCCACTTGTCTGTTTTCAATAAGCATTTGTATGTCGTTTTAGAGTACTGTCAACGTTGAAAACCACCGCTTAAAGGTTTGTGGAAACAAAACGGGAAATCACCTATCACGAGCATCTTTTTACCTTACTCGCTGACTGAACATACGCAATCGCGAAAAGCCTGACATATTCAACTGTGTTCGAGGTTTTCTCTGGAATGGTGTAAGAACATCTACATGCCCTACTCATGAATACAAAGTTAACAAAAGGTTTTACTCCTTCGGGTTCCCCGGATGACTGAAACGGGATGGAGTCAGGCTACGCCTTCTCAGTTAACGAAAAGTGAAAGGGGATTAGCTAAGAAGCGATAAGGGGGGAAAACTAACCGCGAGATGCAGTCTGTCCATCCTCAGTTTTACAAGTTCCGTTTTACCTGCCCAGGTAACCAGGAGTGACTATGGCCATGATCTGACGAGTTAAACAGACATATGCGCATAAATCGCACATACACCTTCAAGCACTGCGTGCAAACCTGTTTGGTATCAGTTGTTTATCTGTTGGCACTAGCTGGGAAGCGGAGAGAGAAAACTGACCGCGAGAAGCAGTCTGTCGATCCCCAGTTTTCCACATCCATTTTACCCGGCCAGGTAACCACGAGGGACTGTGGTCACGATCTGACGAGTTAAACAGACACGAACGAAATCTGATATTCTTCGGTACACGTTTGTAGTTGATATAGCCTAAAAGGTCTACGCGCATAAACCGCCCATACACTCTCAAGCACCGCGTGCAAGCCTGGAGTGTATCATTGTATCGCGACTAGCTGGGAAGCGAGGGCAAGCGAAAGCTGCTCGTGGGATGCGGTCGGGCGATTCCGGCCGCGGCAGGGCGTCGCGAGGTGCTTTGTATTCGCGGCGTCCGCGCTGCAGCCGGCCCGCCCCGCGGCGCGTCCCGCCCGGCGCTGGCCTCCGCAGAGCTGCGTGCCGCGGGGACACCAAATTGACAGTTCCATGCCGCTTCTTGCTTTCAGTTTCTCGGAAAGCGACCGCGTAAAAAGCGTCATCCTCCAGCGCCGATGCCCTGGGCAGCCGAGGCCGCGCTCGTTCGCCCGCGGTGGACGAGGTCCGCGTTCGACGCCTGGGACGACCGCTGGCCGCGTACGGGGCGGGAATGGCTTTCGAAAAAATATGGCGTGCGTTGATAGTTGATGACTGCTATCAAAACCAGCTCTTACGACAATTTTAAGACAGAAATCTCCTGGCGTCTACATGCCGTTTGGCATGAACGAAATATTATTGTTTGTGTACAAGAAAAGAAGCACTTCTTAAATTTATTATTTTGCAGGAGTAAAGTTTTAATCCAAACAGATCTAGTTATTTTGCGATCAAAATCAAATTATTTTACTTCTCATACCAGTTGTCTTGTGAACTTTATTTATAAAATTGTTGCTCTTAAAACGACTATTTTCTAAACAGATTTATTCACCTTTATATGACTCACACATTATTTATCAAAACACCATTTTTGAGATATGTCACTTTCCTTGTAGATTGACAATATAATTTTTACTGTTTTTGATGAAAATAAAATGAACAAAAAGAAAGAGCGGATGTGTTATCGTATGCAGCAGAGAATCAGCATCAGGCGTATATTGGAAGTTCAAGGTTTGTGTTCTCAAGCAGATGTATTTTCTTCACCCGCTCTCTAACTGGTTCGGACAACGCTACTTCGTGAATGATAATCTTGGGTGCTCACGAGTCAGGGTGCTCGAATAGCTTGTTTCTACTTTTTTCTACTTATCAATTCCTGACGAATATCGGAGCAGTTACCTAAACAAGGGGTCGGTTACTATTCTTTCTTCCCTGTCCTTCCCCTCTCTTTAGAGCAGAGTGATCCGATGATCTCCATCCTTCAAGAACTATCCCTCAAGAGAGACTTAGCAGTGCCACAGGAAGAGATAAAGAAGAAGAAGAAGAATGAGGAGAAGGATGGGGAGGAACTGAATGGGAACCGACTATGTAATATTGTAGTTTTCTTCTACTTTCGGTAATAGCGCCGCAACTGCATATGACGACCAATACGGACAACCGCGCCACGCTTTTAGCACGACCTCTTACAAGCTTTTCACTAAAATCTCGTACAATCTCGGACATACTCGTAGAAAACCCGCAAGCCGCCGTGTGGGTCGGTGTTATATCTCACGTCCAGGGAGGAACACCGCCACATCACGTGATATAATGTGCATTATACTCACGGGACTAATGACCATTATAGTGGACACGTCCGGAAACACTAAATAATCAATCAAATGTAAGAGTAATAGCGTTATAAAAATTCATATTTATCTTTGTTTGAAGCGTTGATTGCTGCTGTGCATCAATGATTAATAATGATTAAATATTAAACAACTCTTCATAATCAAAACAACTTATTTATTCATGATCGTATAGCGATACACTTCACATGAATTCTTGCATTCTTTTCCCTCCGTTCGTCTTTCGTCAACAACCCTTAGAAGCCCCATTTTACACGACACCATGACAACCTGTACACAGTAGATGTACTCCATGGAACAAGTAATTTGAAATTGTACTGATTGAAACGTGTTAATTGGTTGTGTGAAACGCATTACTTCTTCAGGGCACGCACCACCCACGTCGTCCACCCCTCCGCGGAAGCCGGCGCTGCGTCGCCTCGTCCCCATTAGCCACGTGGCCTGGAGCGCAGGGGCGGGGGCGCACGCGCCGACAACTGGGTCCGGCGTCGCGACGCCTGCGCGCGCCGCCGTTCGGAAAACAAATTAACGCCGCGGCGCGGCGCGGCGCGGCGTTGCCGGCTTTGTGCCCGCGGCTCGCACCTCTTGCCCAAGGTCTGGGAACGGAAGGCGCCTACGGCTGTTCCCAGACGCCGCCGCGGAGAGCACTTAGACGTCGATACTACACACTGGAACATGGAGCCGATGCATCGCATGGCCCGCTGATACCGGCTTTCGGACGTTAGGAGCGGCTGTTATCAACAATTACACTACGAAAGGTGGAGAAATAAATATACAGAAGTGTACTTTTAATGATCACACTATCCAATCTAACGGTGTAAAACACACGTGCACTGAAAAAATCCCCTCGAAATGCCTCGCTTTAGCGATCTCGACTAAATCAACAACTAGAATTCAGGCTTCCGCGAAACCATTGATATTTGGGGGTAGTCGATGTGCCTAGTGCATATTCTGAATAAATACTACTTTATTATATTTCACACAATAAAATTTCCAATTACTCTTGCATTTGATTGATTATTTAGAAATTAATAATTCCAGGAACGCCAAATTATTTATACGTTCCATTTAGGATGTCTCCGTCTAATAAAGAAATTAAATTTACAATAAAAGTATTTGACATAAAAAAGAAAACAAAAAGTTGAAGTTGACTGCCTCATTTTGGGAGCAATGGAGATAAATGAGTTAATAGTCAACGAATAAATGCTGGGTCGACATGTATGGTGAGTCCATTTAATTTATTTTTTACAAACCGTTCGCTTTTGCTTTCATTTGTATTTTTCTGTTAAACAATCCCTTCAGTGAAATTCAAAACACTTCAAAGTAAACAAATTTAGCAAAAAAATCTTTAATTTCTCTTTCAATGCTTCCTTAATGATTTCTGTGAGTATATCTCTCTCTTTAAGCATTATTTTAGTGTGTTGATATCACATATTCCAGTGACAGATTGAATGGAACCTAGTTAATACATCTAATTATTTCGATGTTCTACAATCTCTTCTCCTATCTTGTACGGGAGCACGTGATTTACTGACGAGGGTGAACAGCGGTGCACGACAGAGAACCGCGCTGGTAAGGTTGTCTGGGCGGAGGTGGAGGCGACTTTTAATCATCTGGTTCGTCACGCCCTGCTCCGTGACATTGTCCTCAGTTTCTCTGCCCCAACATTCTCAGACAGCGGTCGTCAGCATCTACTGTTGCGCGCATACGACGGCTACAAGTGTCTGACGTTCGCTGTTACTTGACACATGGTTTTATGTGCCAACGAGGCGGCTGCGGTGAGCACGAATAGCTAAAAAACACCACATTAGGACTTGTTGGATGGCAATAGATATACATGAACATCCTATTAATTATTTTATTTGATGTTTTAAGGATGTGTCAACTGCAGTAGTTTTTGGATCCTTGTTATAAGACTTTAAAATCATTTTGTAAATAAGATATTTGAGAAAAATGATCAATTCAGAATAAAATATTAAAAATCATTTTATTCTAATGTTAAGATGCTATATAAAAGCGTATTGGGTCAAGTTTCAAAATGATTTTACGACCAGAGTTTTTTTTTTTTTTCAGAATAAATCACCTCCAAATAGCAAAGAAATCTAGGAAGGGGTGAAACATATCTTGTAACTCAACGATATTCAAGAAAAAGACAATTTAAAATAAAAAATATACCTAAATAAATATACGCAGCTCTGGTGATATTTGTATCTTAGAGTTTACATAAAATTATCTTTAAAAACCAATGGACATATTTATTCTTTGTTATTTTGTTTTTCATTCTTGTGATATATATCTCTAATTTGATTTGATTCATTTCGACAAAAAACTGCAAAAAAATGCACGTGACGTACGGGGGAATAGAATAGTCAGCATATCCTAGTTTCAACAATAAATTAATATATTTTTGTTTCACAGCAAAAATATGAACTTAATCTTAAAGTCAAGAGAATGTTCGCGATTTTCTCCGGAGGGGGATATTTTTAACATTCTCCAAAAAGCGAGGGAGGAGTAGGTATTCAGCCATGCACCTGGAAAGTACGGATCACATGTACTGTAACATTACATGTCGTTATATCAGAATCGAAGAGATTCTAAACGGACAAAGTCATAATAGCAGAAAATTGTCAAAGGCGCAATCTACGAAAAACATGAATGGGTTCGATAAACATAGGTAAATGTGAAATTGTGGACATCAAATTTTAATATAAGTGAATATGAGGAATAAATACATAAGCAAATATAATTTCAATATCCTTCACCAATTTGGTTTAATATACATTCCTAATTTAGCATATTAAAAAGAGAATTACAAATATTCCAATATTCCGTACTAGATTAGTTTAACAATATTATAATGAAATACAACTTACAAGTTAGGTAAATAATTACAGTTACTGCGTAGTTTGTTCAATATGTCGTGAAAATACAAATATCAATTCATAAATGAAAAATCCATCAGGCCGAGCCTTTCGTACTATAAGTATCGCAAGATATATTGATAATACCACGACTTTTATTATCATATCAAGTGCCACTAAACAATAGTTCTAAAATATACAATTATCTTGTTGGGAGAGATCTAAAATTAACAGAATTAAATCTTTTACTAACATTATGATTTTCTATGATAAACCATTAAGGTAATTTATAAAAGTTAGCTTTTTTCTCGTATTGTTTTATCTGACACAACGACTGGGAATCTCGAGAAGCTATTGGCGCCGATTCAAGATCATATAATATTCATAAAGGTTGTTCAAAAAAACAAGAGAGAACTTACCTTAGTGCTCTCAGAACACAGCTGGCACTCCAACTAAAACCCTGCAACACACGAATAACCCACATAGGTTAGCTTTACATGCATTCAGGCAAATATTCATTCATTCACTGAACACCATGTAAAAGTATCCTTAACTTATTATCTGAGGTAAGATGCCATGTAATTGTTCACATGTTTTACTTTACATTATACATTTAAAAAAGACATGTCTTTCTCTTTGTTTAGATTTTGCGATGCAATATTTTAGCATTTACTAAAAACAAAATGGCGGATGGAAATTACTTTCGCATACAGACACACCACTGATTTACTATCCAAAATTACTTCACGAGAACACAAGTTTATCTGTACAAACGAGCAAAAAATTTAAAATAGTTACCGTACTTTTGGACAACGCGGCGTCAAATCACGTAACCATACTAATCCAAGTTACTGAGTGATCCACACGCAGTCTGCCTAGAGGAGCTTCGCGAAGGAGCCGGCGCGTCCAACTCCACCCTGAGCGGCTGCGTCCGGTGTGGCCGGCCACACCTCGACAAACCTCCCCCACCCCCGCTTCTGCGCCTCGCCTCTCCTCGCGTCGCCTCGCGTCGCGTCGCGCGTCGCCATGGCGACGAGGAGCCGCCGCCGCCGGCCCGTTCGCGGAAAAAGCGCTTAGTTTAAGTATGAGGGGGGCGGAAAGGGCGCTACCGCCCGGTGGTTAACGAGCCCATCGGATAACGAGGCCGCGCCGTGACTACAGGCGGAGGGCCGGACAGGGAGGAGAGGTGGATTGGGAAGGGAGGGAACGGTGTGGGGCGACGCGGGGTAAAGGTGCGGGGGAGTGTAGGGCGGGACTGGTCAGAGAGAAGCAGGGTGGGGCTTGGTGGGATGGAGGTAGTCGGGCGAGGCGCAGAAATCGGAGGCTGATGGGGAGGGGGCGGCAGAGCAGAGAGGGGGGTGCGGGGGGGAGAGGCGTAAGAAGGCAAGAGGACCGGGGCAAGACGGTGGGACGGGGGTGGCACAAGAGAATTAACACGGTTAATGTGACACCTTAGAAAAAGGACAGAATACACTGCCCTTTCTCTATACCTCCGTCAAGCTGAAACCCCCACTTGTTCGAAATTCAAACTACACTAGCCTATAATTTTGTAGTAATTATGTACTAATTTCGTACCACAATAAAAAAAATTTGTACTCAACTATAACCAATAAATAAGCTACATCCAAAAGTGAAGCTGCTAGCTTGACGTCAGGCTAGCACCCCCACTTCTCATAAATTCAAAATCAACTAGCCTAACGTTATCTACTAATTATGTACTAATTTTGTACCAAAATGAAAACATTTGTTCTCAACTATAAACAATTAAAAACCGGGTGACAATGAAGCATTTTCAGGTACATTTTTCGAAATTTTAAAACACATTTTGAGTCAAATTTTAAAGTTTAATTGAAAACTGAATGCAGGTTAACAACACAGTAGACTTTTACATGTAATAATTTCAAAAAATTATCTGGTCCTCAATAAATATATTACAGTCTACAAACACGAAAAGTTGCGAGCGGTTGAAAATAAAAGTGTCTGCCATCACTGCTTCGCAGAAATTCAAAATCAGATCGTCTATATTCTTCTGCTAGATACGTACTAATTATCTAACAAAATAAATAATTTTGTACTCAACTATAAACAATAAAAAACATCTGCCAATAAAGCACTTTGCACGAAAATTTCCGATATTTTTAAAACACATTTAGAGTGAAATTCCCATTTTAACTAGCCTATTATATTTTACTAACTTTGTACTTATTTTGTAACAAAATAAATATTGTTGTACTAGACTATAAACAATTGAAAAGCGGAGGCCTATGAAGTTCATTCCGTCTAAATCACAAACTTTTTAAGCCTGTTTTGGATCAAATTTTTGAGTTAAAATTTATAATGCAGTTCAATATTATAATTAACGTTTATATGTAATAATTTCAATATTTTACCTTGTTCCTCAACAATGTTATAACACTATACAAACGCGAAAAAATGGAAGCGGCTCCATACAAAAGTGTCCACCATCGCACCCTTCTCCTCAGAAATTCTAATTTACTTATCCTTAATATTCGCCTAATTATGTGCTAATTTTGTAAAAAAAATAAATAAAGTTTTACTAAACTATAAACAATTAGAAATTGTGTGAAGTGCTTTCCGTGTAAATTTAACAATTATTAATTAATTAATTATTAATACCAACTTTGAACCAAATTTTGAAGTTGAAATTTTTAATGCAGTTTCACCATAGTGAACTTTAACATGTAATAATTTCAAAATTTTATCTGGTCCCTCAACAGTGTTATTTCACTCTGCACACCCGATAAATTGCCAGCTGCTCCATTCAAAAGTATC